TTTTGGTATTTTCACGCAAATTCTTCTGCTAGTTGGGGTTTAGTCCAAATCTGCATCCTTTCCTTCAAGGCTCAGGGGTCCAAGATTATCTTCTGTGTCTATGTTAATTGGTTTCCCTTTTCTTTGTTGAAGAGGGTCTGTGCAATCCTTCTGCCTAGTCCGCCATCTTGCCCCGCCTCCTTATTATTTAATTCTAATGCACACAGTCCTGGTAGTTTATTTTCTAAGACATTGGTGTAGACCATGAGGTAATCAGTAGTCTAAAATGTTTTTGAGTGACACAATCTTTAATTCCAAAGAAATTGAACACAGAATCTCAAAACCTAGAACAAAAGCAAAAGCTCTACTAAAATGGGGATGTAGGGTCCAAGACCAAACCCACAGGGCCTTCTCTTGGGTCCCTCACTGAGGTACTTTGTTGAAACCTAGTTTGAGAATCTCACATAGTCTTTCTAGAAAAATAGCAAGTTTCTTGCAACTTATGCTTCACACTTGACTTTCTCCTCAGGGAAATAAAAATAATAGTAGAATGTGTGCCTTAAGCACTGTCTTCTTTTAAGAACTATCTAAATGGTATTAAATTGACAACAGCAACTGGAAAGATTTGAAAAGAAACCTACAAGAATGTTAGTTAATATTAATGGGGAAGAGCAATTCAGAAAAGGAGAGACAGAATGGTTGCACAGCTCAAAGAATGTAATCAATGTCACCGAATTATATACGTTCAAATGGTTGACTAGGCATATGTTCTACTGTGTATATTCTCAGCAATAACAAATAAAATATTTTAAAAAGAAAACAAATGGAGCAGTTCTACTCTGCACATGTCATGAGTTGGAATTGACATGATAGCAATTAGTTCAACTGGTTAACCAGAATACTCATCTAACAGCTAATTGATGAAGATGCTTTGAAATAGACTATCTTGATTGCTCAATAAATAAAATAAAATAATAGGATTCCCCATGTAATAGCAGTAAGTAAAATATATTTACAGAATTTTACTGATTTCTTTGTTCTCCATAATGTACAATTATTTTATTCTGTCTTCATAAGATAAAAAAGTATGGAGCCATTGTATAATTGTGAAAGATCACTAATCATGATTCTCTCTCTTTAGGATTCTTCTATTTCTCCCGTGGATCAAAGCAATTTGAATATGACCCTAAGGCAAAGAATATTACCCGAATGATGAAAACCAATACTTGGTTTCAATGTAAAAAGCCATTAAACTCATCATCTGATTTTAGTTTCAACAAGGAAAGAGTGTATTCAGGCGGCATGAAGATGTCGCATCCTAAAAGTTTAAACTTGTTTATTTTCACTATTGTTCAAATACTGAACAAAATATAAAGTTAGCAATAGAGTTACATATTTCAAACAAATTACAAGAGTTTTTTGAATCTGAACTTTGCTTCAAAATAGACTAAAACTATTCTTTAACCTAAAATTGCCAGTACTAGTCTGAATATCTATTGAATAAACATTCTACAGCCACTTTAAATTGTCTGGCTCTTTTAACAGAAAACTATTATGTCTAAATAAAATTTCTCACTGTATTTTAAGCCTACTCATGCATTTATGGACTAGAGAAATAATACTCGTGCCTTATAAAAACTAAATACTGAAGACATTTATTAAAATAATTTTCACCACTTTGTTTTGCAAGTTGAACTTGATTCCAATGAGGTGATAGATTGAGTAGCTGTCAACTGCTATAGAAAAAGCACAGAAAATCTCACAACTGCCTACAGCTGGTTTTCCCCTACATGTTTTCCTTAAGTTTGGTGCAGGGCTTTGAACTAGTTCCTATCTCATAACTCAGTTAGACCCCTTGCTGAGAATTTGTATTCAGATATACTGAATCAGAAATTACATTTTAACAAGATTCCCAAGTGATTCTTATAGACTCCCAAGTGATCTTAGCAGGAAGGTCAAACACTGCGTTAGTGTTCTCAGATTCCTGAAAGTAAAAAGGTATGTAAGAGTTATTTCATACTTAGAAACAGAAAGTAAATTTAAAAAGCACAACTTAGTACTTAGCACGTAGTGTTGTTGTTGTTGTTATGTGCCATCAAGTTGGACCCAACTCATAGCAACCCCTTCTTGGGTTTCTGAGGCAGTATCACTACAGAAGTAGATTGCCCAACCTTCCTTCTGAGGAGTGGCTGGTGGGTTTGAACCGCCAGCTTCCTAGTTAGCAGTCAAGTGCCTTAGGCACTACGCTACCAGAGCTCCTGGCGTGTAGTAGACAGCAAAAAACAACAACATGATTGCTAACCAGAAGGCTGGCGGTTCAAACCCACCAGCCACTCCTTGGAAGAAAGATGGGGCAATCTACTTCTGGAGTGTTACTACCTCAGAAACCCAAGGAGGGGTTGCTGTGAGTCGGATCTGACTCTATGGCAGTGAGTTTTTTTTTGTTGTTGTTTACACTTGGCTTTAAGTAGGATTATTTTCACCTCCTTCAACACCCTCCTGCAAGCAATTGAGGGAAAAACCTGAAACTGAGTATGAGACATTTTTATTCTTAATGTCCTTTAGATAATCTACCTCCAGAAATATCTCCATGGCTACTTTTCTCCAGACTTCAGCCTAATGTTCCTCTGTCTTACTACCTTTCTTCTTTACCCTCTATGAGGAACCCAAGTCCTATTTATTTAGTTATTATTATTTTTAATGTACAGCAGTTAAGCTATATCTCTATTGTCTCTTTTCAACATGTTGTTAGGGCTGGCCCTTCCTTGGAAGAGCAGCTTATCCAGGTTGTTTAGTTTTGTTTTGTTTTCCCTAAAGAAGAATGTCAAAATTCTTTCACCTGGCTTCATAAAGAAGATATTCTAATTTTTATTTGCTAGCTTGGAGGCTGGGTAAGAGTATGTGCTTATGGCCCAGTTCCTCCACTTATCAGATATAGAATCTTGGGCAAGTTACTTAATCTCCCTGTTCCTCAGTTTCCCCATTTGAGAAATAAAGATGGAAAAAGATCCCAACTCATAGAGTTGTTCAGAGAGCTAGGTAAATTGGTCATAGAACACTTGGAATCAGTATTTGAAGCATAGTATAGACTGGTCAATCTACTTCTGTAGAGATACTGTCTCAGAAACCCAAGGAGGGGTCACTATGAGTTGGAACTGACTCAACGACAGTGAGTTTGGTTTTTCTGGATTTTTTTATAGTGAGCTATCATTATACAGTGAAACCTGTGAGAACTGGAACTCAATGAGACAGCTTTGTTTTCCCAGGGCTCACAAGTTTTCTGCCTTTGACAGGGTACAATATTACCACTTTTCTATCATTCTCTATTAGTGGATAATACTTGAGTTTCCTTCTCTGACAGATTTCTGCCTTACACTAGTTATGGCTTTCACAGTTTTTCTTGTAAGTAGGCAAGTTAAGCTATTTATCCAAAATTACAAATAACAGAAAATAGTAGAAGGTGAGCCCAGACTTGCTGCCCCTTTTTACTTCTTAGCTCTGCCATAAGTTCTATAACAAATTGCCTGCATTAAACTGCGTGGTCCAAATACTACGAGTAATTTCTGTTTGGCTGGTTGGCACTTGACTAATACAATGGGTAAAGAAATAGAGTGTCAAATGTGGGGTGTTCTGGTATGAGTTACAAAGGTTCTCAGTGATGACCTGAGACCTAAATCTGAAGGAAGTGAGCAAACAAGCCACATCTATGGTAAAGAGTGCTCCAGGGAGATGGACAGGGAGTACAAAGGCCCAGAAGTGGAATGTGCTGGGCTTTATTGGGGTGTACTGAAGAGAATCCTATGGCTGGAGAAAAATTGGGACAAGGGTATAATGAGGGGGGAGAAGATGAAATTGAAAAAGGGCCAGTGGACCAAACTATATAAGGTCTTATCGGTCATTATACTGACTTTTATTCTAGAGATTTGAAGCAGAGAAACAACATTATTTGACTTGCATTTTAAAAGAATCACCCCAAATGCTCTGAGGACAATAAGCAAATGGGTAGATATGCTAGGAGGTGTTATGGACTGAATTTTTCCCCAAAAAATATGTGTCAACTGGCTATGCCGTGATTCTCAGTAGTTTGGCAGTTATGTAATAATGTAGTTGGCAGTTAAATGATATAATCATCCCCCATGATGTGATCTGATAACATTACCCTTCATTTGTGATGTGTTGTAAATCCTAGCCTCTATAATGCTAATAAGGAGCTCTGGTGGCATAGTGCCTAAGGCATCTGACTGCTAACCAGAAGGCTGGTAGTTCAAACCTACCAGCCACTCCTTGGAGAAAGATTGGGCAACCTACTTCTATAGTGATATCACATTGGAAACCCAAGGAGGGGTTGCTATGAGTTGGATCTGACTCCACAGCAGTGAGTTTGGGTTTTTGGTTTTATAATGCTAATAAGGTAGGATTAGAGGCACGATACAATCTACAGGATTAAGATGTATCTTGAGTCAATCTCTTTTGAGATATAGAAGAGATTTTACAAGGGAGCGGAGATCAAGGGTTCTAACTACCACCAAGAAAGAAGAGCTGGGAGCAGAACATGTCTTTTGGACCTGGCAACCCTGCCCTGGGAACTTCTTAGACCCAAGTGAAGATTGATGCCAAGACACATGAGGATCTCCAAGGAGTGCCAGGCTTAAAAATGCTGAAAAGAGACAAGAACGTTCCTCCAGAGCCGACAGAGAAAGTCTTCCCTTAGAGCCAGTGTTCTGAATTCAGCTCTGGTAGTGTAGTGCCTAAGGCACTTGCCTGCTAACCAGAAGGTTGGCGGTTCAAGCCCACCAGCCACTTGTCAGAAGGAAGGTTGGGCAATCTACTATCCATAGTGATTCTGCCTTGGAAACCCAAGGAGTTACTATGAGTCGGGGCTGACTCGACAACACATAACAACAACAAACTGTGAGAGAATAAATTTCTGTTTTGTGAAAACCATCCACTTGTGGTATTTCTCTACTTCCATAGTGATACTGCCTCCGAAACCCAAGGAGGGGTCGCTATGGGTCAGGTCAGACTCGACTGTACATAACAACAACACAACAACAACAGAGTTTGGTTTGGTTTTTTTAAAAGAACTAAGACAGAAGGCTGTTGCAACAATCCAGGCAGTAAATGGTGGTGGTAGCAGTGAGAAATTGTTAGAGTGTGGGTCTGTTTTGAAGGTAGACCAAAAAAACCAAAATCACTGCCATCAAGTCAGATTTGACTCATAGCGACCCCTCCTTGGGTTTCCAGGGCGGTATCTCTATGGAAGTACATTGCCCAATCTTCCTTCCAAGGAGTGGCTGATAGATTTCAACTGCCAGCCTTCTGGTTAGCAGTCAAATGCCTTAGGCACTATGTCACCAGAGATGACAGAATTTGCTAATGGATTGGATATGTGGTGTGAAACAAAGAGAGAAATCAAAGATAATTTTTTGTTCTAAACAACTGGAAGAACGGAGTGTCCATTCACAGAGTGGTAAATTCTGTAACCAGCAGATGGTTTGCCGTTACATTTCTAAATAAATAACTCATATCTTTCCACCTCCAAGTAAGTTTCACTTCAAAGAAATTTCTCAAATGTTGACAAGAATGTGGAGAAATTAGAACCTTCATCACTTGCTGGTAGGAATATAAAATGGTGTAGCAGTTTGGAAAATGTTTGGCACTTCTTCAAGGAGATACCATATTACTTAGCAATTCCAAAACAATGTAAAACATGTTCACATAAATCTTTGTTTCCAAATTTTTATGTCAGTGTTATTTATAAAACCCAAAAAGTGGAAACAACTCAATGTCCATCAACTGCTGAATGGATAAACAAAATGTGGTATATTAATTCAATGGAATATTATTTAACCATGAAAAGAAATGAAATACTGATACATATGCAACGTGGATGGACCTGGAAACAATTATGCTAACTGAAATAAGCCAGACATAAAAGATTGCATTGTGTATGATCCTATTTATATGAAATGGCCAGAATAGGCAAATCCATAGAGATTTGTGGTTTCCAGGAGCTGGAGGAAGGAGTTCATCAGGAATGACTGTTAATAAGCACAGGTTTTCTTTATGGAATGATGAAAGTGTTCTGGAATTTGATAGTAGATGATAATCACACAATGTTGTGAATACATTAAAATCACTGAATTGTACACATTGAAAGTGTGAATTTTTTGCTTGTGTGGAATGAAAATAAGAGTTAAAATAATAAGTAAATAACATAAATTGTTTTTAAGAAAGAAGGCAAAATTTCCTGCAACAATCAACATTTTCTTTTTTACTTAAGTTCTGTAGTTCATTACTTAGTATTTTATTAAAGAGGAGGAATGCATTTTCCCCCTGCCGGTTTTCATGAGGAGAGATTATTTTTAAGTGCA